CGAACTGAACGCTGTGCAGCCTTCAAAACAGTTCCGCGATGTTCGGCTAAGGCCTTGCCAGAATAATTCGAAGCGGCATTTAACCGCCTCTCAAATCCACGCTGTCAGCGGCATAATGCGCCGGTAATTGCTTTGGGACATCAACTGCAGAACAGGCGGTCGGATTCGAACTTTTGAAGCCTCAGAAACTATCTGGCATAAGAATAGGTTGCTTGAACAAATATCTTAGTTAGTTTTTGAGCAAAAACATTCTCATTGTGTTGGTTACAACAAAATTTAATAGAGCTAAGATACGGTTTATGGTATTTTATTTTTGTTTGTTTGAATTTATGAAGTAATGATGTTTCCAACCAAATCAGAAATGTTTATTGAGCATAAAACAAAAAAAAATGTCAGCCTAAAGACCTTCTGATTAAAGGTGCGATTCAACCCAAGGGAGAATAAAACAAGTGCTACTAAATGTAGCATACAGAATACTATACTGTAAATATATGAAGATATACCTATTGGGATTTTAATTTTATAGAAGAATATTCCAGTAAGCGGTGAGTTCTTATCCTTTTATAACTATTTAAATTCTTAATAGAGTTTTCGAAAAAAGAAGACAAGATCAAAGTCAACTATTTTACTGACTTTTATTAAAAGAACGTTTATGATATTGTCGAGTGCCCCCATACTTTTTTTCGCAGAGGATATAAAAATATGCCGAGCCGAAAAAACTCAACAAGTTTTCCAATAAAATTAAAAGTTTGCCTGCATGCACAGATTTTGCAGATTTCCCAGAATCCATTGAAAGTAGCAAATACAAATACTAACGAAAAATAGAGAAAGCTCTCCCTGAGGGGGAGGTGGACAGGGGGCAGCGCTGTTGGCAAAGTTTTGATTGCCAATAAGGATTTACAGGTGATAATACAGCATAATCTGGCCACGTTCCACGTGCCGCGTTGGCAGGGCAACATTCTGTTGGAAAATTGTATCTGGAATTTTGTAGTTACCTTGTGCTGGCCGGCTTTTACCCGCTTTGCAAACTGCATGCGCGGAAAAGAGTGCAGCGAAATGCATTAAAATGGATTTCGAAACTTTAAAACTCAATTTCAATTGCACAGAAAAAGTTTCGCGCTGCGATTTGCATATTTACGTAGAAGGGACCTGAAAAACAATATCATCCCGCTGCACCAGCATCAGCGGCAGCGGAAAAAAATATATGAATTCTTAGGTCCACCTGGGATGTTCGTTCACAAATTAATTAGTTTCGCTTGTCCCCCAGATCTTGGCCCTTCAACATTACCTGCAGCTGCCGCCGCTGACTTGGCTGCGTAAAAAAAAAAAAAAGGTTTCCCATCTGGCTGCCAAGTGTAATAATTTGAAAAGCCATTGCGCCGCTGCTGGGATGGAAAAATTCATTTGAAAAATTAAGTTTTCTCACGGACAACGCCGCGTCACACCGTCGGCCAATGGGGCGTATGAGTGACCTGATTTCAACTTCTGTCTGCACTTAATTACAAAATGAGAATGCATCCAACGGCAGAGCAACAAAGCCCGCGCAAACAAATTTCAATATTAAAATTCCTTTTGCCTCATAGTTTTGGCGCCGCGAAGGAGCAGGACGAAAGGTCCGGGGAGGGTGTCGGAAGGCGGAAGTCGAATGTCGGATGTCGGGAGTGAGGAGTGAGGAGCCAGGAATCACGGAGACATGGACACAGCTGGGTGAATGCAACTGCGTGATAATTAAAATCAAAGCGCCTGAAAGAGGTCAAGATTTTCCCTTGGATTGCAAAGAGGACATCGAGTCGAATTCTTGAATACCATAAGAAAGAGAAGAAGGAATCCTTGCCAAGGAATCTAATCTACATATCTGCAAAATAATTTGTTAGATTAAAAGTGTTCAAGAGTATTAGAAGGCAGGTGATTTCTTTATTTAATAATATTATATACTATTTTATTAAATTATATCATCGGCGAAATTACAGACAATTTTATAAAATAATAGAAAAATCATTTGAAATCATTTTGCCTGACTATAGAAAGGCCTTAAAATAAAGAGTTTATCTTAATTTGCATCTAATGCTAAACGTATATTTATTTTTACTTTTAATTAATCACATTTGTTATGTTTTGAATAAAAGTATGTACACAAATTATGCACTCGAAAACTGTTCTTGATTTTCCACAGAAATAAGGAAAGTAACTGATGAAAGTGCAAGCAATATAATTTTACCTGGCTATTTAAAAAAAAATAACTTTTAAAATCAAATCATTTTGTAGTTTTTTGTTTTTATTTCTTATAGTTATTGGAGTTCCCGAAAAGTAAAGTTCCTTACATTAACCGACAAATCTAAGTTTTTAAATAACCCGAAAAATAATATTTCTTTCAGACTTTCTGGTGTTTAATGTTGAAAAAGAAGTTTCCAATATTATAAAGTACACACTTTAAAACATAATATCAATATACAGCAATATTTTTCTATTCATATTTTATGTCTACGTTCTTTCGTCATCCTTAATTTTACATTCGTATATCAGACAAGCTGATAGTTTTCTGTGATACAGAAATTATAGACAAGTTGCTGGTACCCTTCCTGACCTACGTCAGGACATTTCTGTTCTCTGTGGCAGCACAAGTCATGGGTGGATTTGATGGAAGAGAAAGGAGCTGCATGCGTTGCTATCAAAAAGATGAGGAATAATTAAAATTCACCCTCAAACAATTTGTGAGCTTTGGCGGAAGGACTCTCCTCCTCCTTCAGTGAGTGTGCTTAAAATGAGGGTGGTTGGGGGGAGGGGCAGCGGACACATGCTCATAAATAAATTTATGTTTGCTGAAGTGTATTGGGCGTGCCAGGATCCTAGCTCCCAGGTCCTGACTCCTTGCACCCAGCTCCTGATTCCAGTTCCAGTTGGCCATAAATTTCTGGTTGTTGTTGCCAGCTCCGACAGCTTTCAGACAGGTCCAAAGAGAACGAGAGGGAGGCGGAGTGCGTTTTGTGTTTTTCTTTGCCATTACAAGGACTTCTATTTTACCATCCGTCGCTTGTATCTGGGGAATTTGGTGCCGCTCTTTCGAGTTTTGTTTACTGTTTGACTAAATCAATTTGGCCCAGCTAGGATATCATAGGGATGGTAAGTCTGGCGAATTAGCAGCCATTTAAATGCGCGCTTTAAGCCGCTTTTCCCACTTTCATGCTAATCATACTTCACACTTTTCGCCAAGTTAACCTTTGATTCAATTTATCAACTTCAATAAACAGAACAGCAAAAAATGCGACACACACACAGAGGCCACAAAAACCAGAAAGAGAGAGAGAAAGTGCGGCGGGGAGCTTCGCAAAAGTTGCGCCTGCGAATCGCAAAGGACTAACGACATCCTTTGAACGCTCGCAAATAATCCCGCAAAAACCGAGAGCTTAACTTTTTCAGCATTTATGGAGGGGGCTTGCATTCGCCCATATTTGGGCCAAAGCCCTTTTTGCAATTCGCGTAGTTTAGCACAAAGTTGAAACGTCAACGCTGTCTGATTCTGATCGTATGCCACTAGCAACCGACCCAACCAACAAAAACAACATTGTCCCTGCCACTGATGGATGGATAGATTCCTGGGATGCACCAATGGATGGGATGGGATGGACGGGATGAGCAAACCAGGCCAGAGTAGAGTTCGGTCCAGTTCGTCCACTGCCGCGGTTTCGAGGCCCTCCTTTGTGCCTTTGCCAGCTATACGCTTGACCATTAGGCAAAGGCATTTTCGGGCAGGAGTTCCGCATTGATTATCAAAAGCAAACCGCAGTAGGTTTTCTACACAGAAGAAAATCTGTATACCATCTGTCCAACAGTTATTCGACATTCAAAATATGTTTTTCAATGGAAAATGGTTTTATTTAAACGGTAATGGGTAATATTCTTCATCTGATATAAAGTAAGCATTTAAGACGCTAAAAAGTACATATTTTATATCAAGATTACAAACAGCCAAGTTCTTAATAACCCAAGGTCCTATAGTTTCAGAAGCCAGAATTAAGCTTATAACATAGCAAATCTATCGTTAGCTTGTACTAGTTAAATAAATATCTTTCGTAGTCATTATTTTACGAATATTGTTAATAAGTATAACCGTAGATTTGCAAGGTAATGACTTCAATCAAAGCTGCCAAAGTTCCATTGCCCTTAGTCAAGTTAACTTATTAAAAGCAAAGCAAATAATGACACCAGAAGATGTCCTTCGGGAGCTCCTAGTTTAGTGGAAAGATTTCCCCACTCAGGTTTCTTTCCTCTGTCTCGATTCTCAGAACCTGGAAATGTCTTCAATGGCATTCGACACTCGCCTCCATCATCAATTCATGCCGATGGATAGACAATGTTTGCCTACACACGATGGCACAGATGCAGACGGACGTATAAATATCCAACAGGAATGAAATACAATCTCAGCCGATGTTCCTGCTGCTGTCGGACTTGCCGAGGGTTTCTATTTATTTATTGTAATAATATTAGTTTTTGCATTTATGTGCGAATGTGTATACACAAGAAGCATCTTTTGTTTTGCTCATCTTTCGCCGGACTTGAGTCACTCCGGAAATAAGATTAATGCAATTGGGAAATCCAACATGGAGCAGTTGTGTTGGCTCTTCTGTTTGCTTTTGTCTCAGCTCTGCCAAATATTGGGAATGATATATGAATATTTATTTATATGCCAGCTAGTATTTCATTAATTGTGTATTCGACTGGCCTTACAAGTGTCCCTGCCGACGCACTTGCCCGGCAAATTTATTAAACAAACACTCGAATTGATTGCAATGGAAATTACACATCTAGCCGACATTCGGAAGTGCATGTGGGCGAAACAAAGGATTCACCAGCACTGCACTTCAATCCCATTCAATTTTACATTACTTGGAAGGAGCATTTTGAAAAAAAAAAATATGTTTAAACTAATTATTTTATCCCTAGAGTCCTATGACTTTGAAGTAACCTTTTGTAGAAAACTGTTTTCCTTTTTAACATTTTTCAAATTTAATCTAACCCCCTTTTAGAATTTCATAAAAATGTTAAGTTTCTAGATCTTATTAGATAGAGGATAGCGAGAATCAGAACTCAGCATGCATTTTCTAAAAATTGCCATAATTGTGGTTTTTGCGGCATGCGAGGTCCTCAGCAAAGCTTAAGTAATTAAGCCAGTTAATCAGCGAAATCACTCCTTTCAGGTCATCAGGATTTGTGCCATTAACATGGACAATGCCCAGATTGTTCTGAGGGAAACAAACGAGAGGAGACGTCGCCATGGATGTCCAGAGTTGAGCTTGGATCTTGATCTCAGCCAAGGATGCCAGACGTACGCCTGGGTATGATGAGGTCATTTCTCTTAACCCTTAGCTTCTCTTTGAGCCTTTGCCACGCAGAAACTCGCCAAGGATGCTAACCTAACATATTCGGATCCCACCAACAAGGAATACACTGAAAACATCTGCCGTTATCCAATCAAAAGGGGCGCTCTATCCAGGTGCGTGCATAAGTGGTATCATGGCAGCAAATTAGACTTTACAGACCCAAAAGCTAAAGAATTTACTGCCATGATTTGGAGGTCCTCACGCAATATGGGATATGGCGACGCCAATATAAAGTGATGTGAAAGTATTTGACTTCAAATAACAATTTTATGATTGATACTCGTAGAGTACACTATAACGTAGTAGAATATCCGAAACGCGTCCTTCCGATTTTAATATTTATAAATTATTGATCAGGATAACTAGCACAGTCGATATAGACTTGTCCGTCCGTATGTCGGTCCGTCTATGCAGACATAGATCTCGGAATTAATAAAATCTATATAGCTAGAACTAAGCATTCAGATTTGGGTGTGGCTTATGACGCTCTTAGGTACAAAGCCCGAATCATGTCATGTATGGCATGACGTACAGATGGCGCCACCAGGTGACGGTTTTCGCATTTTCTAGAAAAGCTGATATCTCGGTAAATATAAATGACAGAAAGTTCGGATTAAGCATGTAGGTTTTTATGATGCTCCAAATACAAATTAATTTTTTCCCATCTAGCCACGCCCTAACCTAACGCCCACAAAACCCGGAAAACCAAAAATGCAAATATCTCAGAAACTATAGAAGCCACAAAGCTTAAAAATACGTATTTAAGAGATGGCGTCTAAAATATTATTGACCTTGTAAAATTTATTTCTGTTAATATCTATCGATTTGCCAAAGATTTTTTAAATCGGAACAATATTTCGCTATTTATAAAGAAATTTAGGTTATAAAGCCTCACATGGGCAGCGACGTCACTATTAGTTAATCGACATTCTTTCTCATACAATAGGTGGCGCTTGGGGAATTTTAACTAGCAAAATGAATATTTTAAAATTGTGTAAAACAGTAACGGGTTTTTTATAGTCGCGGCCCTCGACTATAGCGTTTCCTCTTGTTGTAATTGTATTCATTTCAGTGAATATGAAGGTGTCTTCGTGGTCAGATATACTCCCCCGGGAAATATCCTTGGATTGTACACGGACAATGTGCCACCTAGGGCAAACAAGAACAAGAAGGGCAAGCAGAAGCATAAAAAGAGAAAGTAAAGTTCTTCCAAGCCCTCTGCAAATTTTTCATTAATTACATTTTTTTCAGTGATTGTCCCGGTCATCCGAATATCATTTCATATCGATATATCATATTGCTGTCTATCCTATTTGTTGTGTCAAATAATTGGCAGTCAAGCTAGTCCCGTTCAGTTTGAAGTCTTCGTATCCAAATGTATTCACCATTTTACTAAATGCGCTCTAGAGCCTCCATCTGGATATTATGTCATTCAGTGTAAAACAAAGATTTCCGTAATCCAGGTTTTAAACGAATTTTTATAATAAATTTTTGGTTTATTTATAACTTTTCTTTAGTATTTTTTATTTTGGATTTTGCATTTCTTCTATATCAATATATTCCTTATGCAAAAGTCACAGAAATAAATCCATAAAATAAAATAAACTTTCAAAAAAGAGTGGAAAATCAATTTTCAAAGCACTCAATTACGGTTCATTTATCCTGCTTTGGCACTTCGTAGGCGCCAAATGCACGGACATGTTCCCGAATACGGACTGCATTGATAGCGATAAAGCCACCCGCATCCTGCGGCACATAGCCACCATGGACATCCATGGATACGAGCTGTTCATTGTAAAGAGCTCCGACATTCTTAGCCGCCTTCCGAGCAATGGCGCGGCAGTAGCCGGGTGCCAACTCCACTGTCACCTTTCCGGAGACCCGATGCTCGGCCAACTCAATGCATTTACGGGCATAAATCGCCTCCGGACTGAACCAGAAGCCATTGTACACATAGTCGGCCATGCGATCCCGCAATACTTGCTTGGTACGGAGTACTTCGCGGTCCAAAGCGAATACCTCGAGGTCCTGGTGAGCAGCGTACAGGATAGTGCCGCCGGGCGTTTCATAAACCCCGCGCGACTTTAGACCTACATACCGATTTTCAACGATGTCTATCCGCCCGATCCCGTATGATCCGCCCAGTTGGTTGAGGAAATCCAGCATCTCCAGGGGTTGTGTATAAACACGACTGCTTGCCAAATCCTCTACACTGGTGGGCAGTCCCCGATCGAACTCGATGACCAAGCGAGCCGGATTCCTTGGAGCCTTGGTCAAGGGATCGACGGTAATCTCATAGAGACTGTCCGGAGCCACCGTGTTCGGATCTTCGAGGATTCCGGACTCGTAGCTGATGTGAAGGATGTTGGCATCGGTACTCCAAGGAGTGGCAGGCTTGGCGCTGACCTCGATTCCATGCTCTTGGGCGTAGGCAATCAGATCTTGGCGTCCTTGGAACTGACGGCAGAACTCAACATCCCGCCAGGGAGCAATGATCTACAAAATAATTTACTTTAATATTTTTATAAGCTTTAATTTGCTTTAAGATTTGATTAAAAGAAATATTACAAGATAATGCCAATTTAACAACGTACACCTTTATCGCGCGACAAGGTACTGATAAACTGTGCACTCTGTCTAGGCTTATCAATCGACCAGATATCGGTGGGATGTTTGGTCGTACCTTAAGATCCGGTTTAAGGGCGTAGGCGCACAACTCAAAGCGCACCTGGTCGTTGCCCTTTCCGGTGGCTCCGTGCGCAAGGTACTTCGCTCCGCACTCCCGTGCTGCCTTCATTAGGGCAACACTGATGCATGGTCGTGCCAGGGAAGTGCCCAGGAGATAGCGCTCCTCGTAGACGAGGCCCATCTGTATGGCCGGCCAGATATAGTCCTCCACAAAGCTCTGCTTAACATCGGCCACGATTACCTAGGTGTCCAAAAGAAGAACTACTTTATTAGAAACACTGCCTAGACTATCAGATACTCATTAACTTGCTAACAAAATTAAAAATGTTTGATTTAAAATATTTAAAAATATTTACAGGTAAAGAAAAATATTAAGAAATCCCCTTTCGGTTAGAGTTGATGCTTCTATTTAGCTAACCTTCTTTGCTCCAATTTTGATGGCCTTCTTCTCAGCGGCGGCAAAATCCTCCTTTTGACCAACATCGGCTAGGACACAGATGACCTCATACTTCTTGTCCAACAACCACTTCAGAATGCAGCTAGTGTCCAGGCCACCGGAGTACGCTAAAATTACTGTTTCTCCTGACATATTTCCCAGCCCGTCCGCTCGTCACACTTGTACAAAAATACTGAACTCTGGAGATTTTCTAGCTCATTTACAGCTTTGTGTAATCTCTGTCTAATCGCAAGTCTTATCAGCCCACACGTGTGATTCTCTCCAGAATTAGGTTTGGCGATAAGGTTTCTGCTACAGTTAAGGATAGTGTTGGCATTAAATAGCGATTATTTAATAATTTTTATTTACTAATTATAGTCAACTTGTCAAGTGGATTCAAGTAAGGATCTTTGTATTATTTTTTTCAAATTTCTTCAAACTTCATGATACAATCATTCGTCACCATTCAGGAGAACAATTTTTAACAAGTAATTAGCTTTCTTGCCCACTGTGATGCCTTACGCTTTCGCCTGCTGTCTTAACAGAACTTTTTGTTAATGCAACTCTGGTCACACTTACAAATCCCTAATTCGGGTATTTTGAACAAACTGAATCCAAAATACCCCGAAATCGAATAGTCTCTGACCGGAAAAATCACTTATCTAAAATGAATAGCCGTAAGTATTATAATTCATTATTAGCTATCCTTCAGTCGCCTATCTTTGGGATTTCTTAGAAAATAACAATTTCTGGAACGCTATTCTACATGATGTTAACCGTTCCGAAAAGCTGAAAAACAACGGGCCTCTCTACCGGAAAATTGTAACTGACCTAATTGAGACACTGCGTTTGCAGTTTCCTTCCGAGTCCATCCATGTCCATTATTTTGGTTCTAGAACAGTGGGCTTAGCAGGTCCAGACTCAGATCTTGATTTGTATGTGGATATTGGTAAGCTCTTTTCCTGGAAAACAGTCTGAAGTGTTCTAAAAAAATGTTGATCACAGGCAATAGCAGTGGTATTTACAGCGATAACCCGACAAAAGATGTGATTGAGAAAGGGAAATCTATAACCAAAGCCATTCAAAGCAAACCTTCGACGTGGGTATATCTCAAAAATGTTGGAGGCAGATGTCCTATAGTTATTGTCCGGCACAAGATCTCTAATATCGACTGCGACATTAGCTTCTCTAACAGCATGACCTGCGGCCAGAACAAGCTGGTTACCTACATCTTTGAACTGCAACCCATCGGTGAGTGCTATCAATAGCTGAGTAAGATCACCACTACCACCGCTACTTTCTTCGTCAGCTCGCTACATGGCCATCTATCTTCGGGGATGGACTAAAGAAAACAATATTAACTCGGCATTCCGTAGCCACATAGTCGTCCTAATGGTGATATTCTTTCTGCAAGTGCGTGGATATCTACCAACCATCTACCAACTTCAATATGGTCGGACACCCGATGTTGGCCGTGAGTACATATTATGTCTTTCATTTTTAAAATCGACCCTTTATAATACATCCTTAAAATCATTAATTATTATCATTTCCTTATTAGCTTGGATAACAACATTTAATAAACGTTCATTAAAGCATTATAAGATGAAGGAAGTTAATGTAGGCCTTGAGCAGACTCACCGTATGCTTTCAGACTTTTTTCAGTACTTTTTGGCATTCAATTTTTCGAAGATGGTTGTTTGTCCTTTCTTAGGAAGGGAAGTCTTGCGCAGTAAACTGAAATACTCAATGCCTGCAAGGTTTGATATATTTTGGTTAAGTTATTTACCAGATGAATTTTACTAAATTTACGTCTTTTCAGATGCCGAGAATTCATTGGGAAAATAACCTTTAAAAAGAATACAGTTGCCATTCAGGACCTGGTACACCTCAACCACAACAAGGGAGCGAAAATTGCCAAGCGGGTTTTGGACCACTTCTTGAAAAGATGTCGCCTGGAATTAAACGGACTCTTTAAGACTTAACCATGTTATCACTCTTTATATTATTTCATCTAAAAAATTTGGAATAATCATCGCTTGTAGTAGTTTTAAGTTTAAAGTTTCGTATCTCTTATTTTAAATTGTTTATTTAAAATCCGGCTCAAAACAAATAAATGAAACTTAAGAAGTATTAAGCTAATCTATAGTAAGGGATGCCAACTATAAACCTCATCCAATACTAATTTATCAAAGTCTGGGAGTAAAGTAAAGTATGTATGTACATATGTATGTATGTAAATGAATTTAACCATGCATGTCCGCTATAGACTCGGAAACGGCTGAACCGATTTTCATTTAAATTTTTTGTACGTGTTTAAGGGTCTCCGGGCGTGTTTAGAAATCATAATCGAGAAAAATTTTTAAATATTCAAAATTAGGGAAACTTGAAAAATTTATTAATATTGACAACTCTGATCATTTATAGTTGGCAGCACTAGCTCCTAACAGCTGAGGGAGTATATGGCAACTCTCTAAAAATTAAGCTGGGAGCCCTTTTTTAAACATATAAATTTGTTTTTTTAAGGTTTTTGTTTATGTGATTTGTGTTAGAATTTGTTTAAATTGTGAAATTTATATAATTTTTCTATATATAGAACGTACTGCTGGTGGACACCGAAGGGGTGTACAATAAGACTGGCAAACTTATTACCGTTTATTGCAGATGTTTACAGGAATACAGATCATAAATTAATCGCACTGCGAGTAGCAGGTAGGTGGCTTGATGAAAGTTTAAAAAAAATTGTTGTGAGTGTGATGAACAAAATTTCAAGTATGGGGAAGTCTTATAAAAAGGAGTACATTGTAATACAAAATTAAATTTTGTATTTTTCAAAATAGTTTCTTATTTTATGCAATTTAAATTAGTATAACAGAGTTTTTCCTAAATTTTTTTTTTTTTGTTTTTTTATTGTGCGATAAAAAATAAAAAACGATTTAATTGAATATTTTAAGTACTTCTCTTTATAAAACGTGTACGTTGCATTATAAAACATTTAAAAAATTTTTTATTTTTCAAGTAAGGTTAGAAAGTTGCGGGGTACGCCATGCTAAGGCCCTTTCGTCTTCGACACATGAACAACGGGAATGTCGCCAACTAAATGTTCGAGCAAGAGTGGTTCCATCAAGGCGAACACTACGTCTTGATTTAAATCTTGCTGCATTCCAATATGACAGTAACATTGACTACATCTTGGTATAGTTGTCGGCATTGGAAAACGAAACGCCAGGGATGTGATGCGCCAGTGGTCAAACTGCCAGAATACATTCACCTCCTGAACCAATATCATCGTTGCTTTCAGGCGTAACACATGATTCCAAACATTTTTTAGCTGGAGAATTCAAAGGTGAAGACGTACTGTTGCCACGTATCCCCATGATTCCGACGGTTATGCCATTCGAATTCAAAGATTTTCAGTTCCCGGTGCGCTTGCCTTCGCAATTACTACCAACAAAGCACAAGGACATTCATTGGAAGTGTATGGACTAATTTTGGAGAATCCAGGCTTCTCACATGGGCAGCTCTATGTGGCCTGCTCGCGGGTCGGAAAATATTGTGAGTTTTTCGTTTACGCACCTGATGAAAAAACAAGAAACGTTTTATAACCCAAAGCACTTCAATATATGGTGAATAGAAACCTTATCAAAAATTATTTTTTTTTATTTTATTTTGCCCGCGCATGGTACATAAGCCTTAGAAGACTATGTCAAGCTTGAGAATCGGAGATAAGCGAGGCGGGCGCGCTAATGTTCTATAAAGATATTACCGAGACTGATGAAAACTTAAAGTACAAAAGTTATGACTATTTCAGTTAAAACTGTTTTAGAATAAACTTACATTTAGCCGATAAAAATATGACATTTAAAAGAAAAGACTTTCATGGTATTTAAACACTAATCTAAAAATTAAATAACAGCCTCTGTTAAGGCAGAATAAGTTTTGAAGAAATAATTAACTTTCTTGCCGCCAGTGCAGCTCCGCGTTTCTTTTCCTTTTAACTTTATGCTTGTCTTAGTTGCACTACCAAATCTATGAATTATAATAGAACTGGTGACATCCGTTTCCGGACATTTATGTCGATCGACAATAGTTGATGAAATTCGCGTCTGACGATCACTTATTAATGGTCCGGCTTTGCTAAAAAGTTTTACAGATTCACATGAAGATTCTAAATGCAAAAGTAAATTCTTGGTAATGTTTCAAAATGCATTGCCATCTGTAGTCATCTTAGATAATATAATGATTCATTAAATCTGAAAAAAATGTTTCCGCCCAGGAAAGAGCACCTTTGTGTTTTTTCTTGTAAAAATTAAAATCATGTTGGTCTTCTCGGCTGATGTCACTTCTTCCGTTTTTGATGGAATAAGAAAACCATGTCTTTTAATACGGGGATCTATAAACGTGGCCATATTAAAATCTGAATCTTGTACTTGTTCTTGTAGGAGCAATATCTTTTAAGGTATAGATATCTGCTGTTGAAAACAACGACGTTATGCGAATACTTTTATGATCATTTCATTTGCATTCTTCCACCAAGTTCAAATTTCCTTGACGCAAATATCATTTTTCTGCGCCGCTTTAAATTTTACAAATAGCAGGTTTCAGTACAGTTAGTCAGTTAGTACATAAACCACTTTATATGTAAGGCCCCAATCTGCGAGCACCACCTTTATAGTTTTCGATGTATTGCTCGTGTTGTGATTGACGCTATCAAGGAGCTGATTGCTAAAACCGCCGACTTAACCCAAACCTATTTATTTATTTATAAAGACCCAAGTAATAGTAATAAGGTCCTGATTAGCCCGGGTCCCCCATTTCGGTGATTATTTCCAGAAAATCGTATCGCGGGGCTTTTCCTTCTTTATAACATCTTTTCGAGCTTATTTCGCAGTGGGCCATCGGCGCGAGTGTGTTAAAATGAGTGATGAATTATCAAAAAAAAGTGTTATTCTTTCTCTCAGTGCACATCTGCAAACCAAAACAAGAAGATTATTATTTAAGAAGATTATTATTTACGTTAGAACTTCATTACAATGAAATAAACACTTAAAATGTTCACAAATGTTAAGTAAACCGTCTATCCAGGTGGAGTCCATGATGTGTTACTTCACTGTTGGGTTGCTCTTATGGGGCACTTAGCTCGACTTAGAATGGCAGTATCATCAGAAAATATTGAGGTTTTTGTAAGACTGGTTGTCGTAAGGTCTGTTGTGTAAACTATATACAGTGTTGGTCCATGCACGCTACCATGAGGTGCTCCAGCTCCAATTGGTATTTTATGGGAGTTCTGTGGAAGCAAGGTTTAAATTTTATAAATTAAGCCAAACGCGGTTGAAGGTGGAAACACTGCGGAACAAGACTTCCTATTTTAAAATGTAACTAACTGAATTCGAAAATTCGAAATTCCTCATTTCTTAAGTTCATTAGTCATTCTATATGTTAAAAGAGCTGGGAATAATCTCAGCTTAATGATTATGTTCTTCAAATGATTTTTTTTTTGTTGAAACTATGGTCAACTATGATATTTTAATGCCAATTTAGATTTGTTGATGAATTGTTTGCCGCTGTGTCGGTAGTGGTAACGATATAGTTATAGTTCACGACATAGTGAAGAGTACTGCAGCAAAGTGACTTATCCATGTTCACAACCTTTATATTTCATAAAATGCGTTGCATTTACACTGTGATATCTTTCAGATGTTCAACAACGGTCACACTTAACTTTGTTTTCGTTGGAAAAATTTAGTCGGCAAAAACAAATTAAGATTTTAAGATTAACATTGTAATCCGATGGAAATGGAGATGGAATCGGACAACAGTGATGACGAGGGATCGATCGGCAATGGCCTGGACTTGACCGGGATACTTTTTGGGAACATCGATTCCGAGGGCAGACTACTGGCCGACGATGATGGCGAGGGACGCGGAGGCGCATTCGATGCGGAGCTCCGGGAAAACATTGGATCGCTGTCCAAGTGAGTATAGTTATCCGGAGATTAACATGTAGTGACAGAAAACATCGAGGTATAAATAGCTGTCTGCCGCCATAAAAACCTTATTAGTATCTTGCTCAGGAGTAACCAATGAGTGGGGTCTCTTTTTTCTTGCCTATGTGTGGAAGAATTTGGAAGTCTCAAGATGCATACGCAGCAATGATACATACGAATGATGTGCCTAAAACCTCTTGTTCTTTCGTACGATTACCTTTCGTGTTCGTCAATTTGTTTTATAAGAAATATAGTGTAAATATATATAAAATATTGAATATGTCCGGCCAGAATCATTACTTTTCTTCGATATAGTCAGCTACATTTGATTATAAAGCGATACTTAAACCTTTTTCATCACAAACTTCAATATACACGGAACAATCAAAATCCCCGTTATTTCAGATTGGGTTTGGATTCTATGCTGCTCGAGGTAATTGACCGCAAGGAGGCCGAACCGTTGTCGGAAGACGAGGATGAAAAGACTGAGGACAATGCAGGCGGAGGATTGAGCGCCTTCGATGCCCTTAAGGCAGGCGTAAAAAGTGATGAAAAGGAGGATGGTGCCGTAAGGGCTCAGGACGATGCCATAGATTACTCAGATATCACTGAACTATCCGAAGATTGCCCACGGACGCCGCCGGAAGAACCGGCGCCTTACGACGACTTGGAGGATGCCATTCCCGCCTCTAAGGTGGAGGCCAAGTTGAGTAAGTGAACGGATTCTATCATAGTAAAAATGATTTATGAATGTTCTGTCAAACGATTAAGTGGCTCTTAATAAATAATTATCTCTGTTATTAGCCAAGGACGACAAAGAACTTATGCCTCCACCAAGTGCTCCGATGCGATCGGGCTCGGGCAGCGGCACTGATGAGCCGACCAAACCAAATGATGCCACCAGTCCAAGTGCTAGTGATTCCAAAGCAAACGATCCCAAGGGTAAGCATATACCGCAATACAGCTAAGAACAATACTTTATGTTCTTCATGCCTTTTAGATGCAGATCGTAAGCTGGACACGCCACTGGCAGACATACTGCCTTCCAAGTACCAGAATGTGGATGTGCGCGAGCTCTTTCCCGATTTTCGCCCACAAAAGGTGCTACGCTTTTCGCGACTCTTTGGCCCAGGTAAACCAACAAGTTTGCCCCAGATCTGGCGGCATGTTCGCAATCGTCGCCGAAAACGCAACCAGTCCAGAGATCAGAAGGTAGGAATTTTAGTTAAAGGAAGATTTGATGAAGATAATTAACGGTTATTTTAACTCCTGCCTTAAAGCCGACCAACGCAGGTAGCTCAGATTCCACAAGCGACACTGAGGAGCCGCGAAAGCGCGGCTTTAGTCTGCACTTTGGTCCGGAGCCAACGCCGGCGGAGTGCATGTCCGACGATGAGGACAAACTGCTGGGCGACTTTAATAGCGAAGACGTGCGTCAGGAAGGTCCGGACAATGGAGAGAACAGCGACCAGAAGCCCAAGGTGGCCGACTGGCGTTACGGGCCGGCACAGATTTGGTACGATATGTTGGAAGTTCCCGACTCCGGGGAGGGATTCAACTATGGTTTTAAGACAAAGACGGCCACCTCGTCGTCTCAACCGCAGGTCAAGGAAGAGCACCATGCAAACAGTCCAGATGGAGAAGCCGAGGAGCCAAGTATAGCCGACGATGCCTTTTTGATGGTCTCACAACTGCACTGGGAGGACGACGTGGTCTGGGATGGCAACGACATCAAAGCCAAGGTGCTGCAAAAACTTAACTCCAAGACAAATGCAGCTGGATGGTTGCCTTCTAGTGGATCAAGAACTGCTGGCGCCTTCAGCCAGCCGGGAAAAACTTCCCTGCCGGTCGGAAACCCGTCTGGTAGTTCCAACAAGGGCTCGGCAGCATCTAGCAAGAAAGCCCAGCAAAAGTAATTTATTTTCTTAGCCATTTACCATTATTTCAGTCTAAAAGTTATTCTAATTATAGTGCCCAAGCGAAGCCAGTGGAGGCACCCGATGACACCTGGTACAGTCTTTTCCCTGTGGAGAATGAGGAGCTCATATACCACAAGTGGGAGGATGAAGTCATATGGGATGCACAGCAAATGAGCAAGGTACCCAAACCGAAGGTGCTCACACTGGACCCCAACGACGAGAACATAATCCTAGGCATACCCGATGACATCGATCCATCTAAAATTAACAAGAGTACGGGTCCCCCGCCCAAGATCAAAATACCCCATCCTCATGTGAAGAAGTCTAAAATCCTACTTGGCAAGGCAGGCGTAATTAACGTGTTGGCCGGAAGACACACCTCCGCCCCCACCCAAAAGTCCTGACCGTGATCCCTTCAACATATCTAACGATACGTAAGTTTACTATATATAACCTAAGGAAGCACAACGTAATTCTTGAACCCCTTTAAGGTACTACACACCCAAGACAGAACCGACGTTGCGTCTAAAGGTGGGTGGCGGAAATCTTATCCAACACTCGACTCCGGTGGTAGAACTTCGTGCTCCGTTCGTGCCAACACACATGGGACCAACGAAGCTTCGTTCATTCCATCGTCCGCCCCTAAAGAAGTACTCGCACGGCCCAATGGCTCAGGTAACACCCCATCCCGTTTTCCCCCTGCTTAAGACCATTGCGAAAAAGGCAAAGCAGCGCGAGGTAGAGCGTATTGCTTCCGGTGGTGGAGACGTGTTCTTCATGCGAAACCCGGAGGATCTGAGCGGCAGAGACGGTGACATCGTGCTGGCTGAATTCTGCGAGGAGCACCCGCCGCTGATGAACCAAGTAGGCATGTGTTCTAAGATTAAGAACTACTATAAACGCAAGGCGGAGAAGGACAGCGGACCACAAGATTATGTCTATGGAGAAGTAGCCTTTGCGCATACCAGCCCCTTCCTGGGCATCTTGCATCCAGGCCAGTGCATCCAAGCGATTGAGAACAATATGTACCGGGCGCCTATTTATCCCCACAAGATGGCCCATAACGATTTTCTTGTGATTCGCACACGCAACAGCTACTGGATCCGATCCGTGAACTCGATCTTTACGGTGGGCCAGGAGTGTCCACTCTACGAGGTTCCGGGTCCGAACTCCAAGCGGGCAAATAACTTCACTCGAGACTTTCTTCAGGTCTTTATATACCGCTTGTTCTGGAAGAGTCGTGACAATCCGCGTCGCATACGAATGGATGACATAAAACAGGCTTTTCCCGCACATTCGGAGAGCAGCATTCGTAAGCGATTGAAGCAGTGCGCCGACTTTAAGCGCACGGGAATGGACTCCAATTGGTGGGTTATCAAGCCAGAGTTTCGCTTGCCATCGGAGGAGGAAATCAGAGCCATGGTTTCACCAGAGCAGTGCTGCGCCTACTTCAGCATGATAGCGGCGGAACAACGCTTAAAGGTTGGTACTATTTAAATTAATCTCGGTCCTGCCTGCATGGCAGTCGAAACAATCCTGTTGATTTACTAAGCTTAACTTAAAAACGGGTTTTGCCTATTTTTAGGACGCAGGCTATGGAGAAAAGTTCTTGTTCGCCCCTCAAGAAGATGATGACGAGGAGGCGCAACTAAAACTTGACGACGAAGTTAAGGTGGCCCCATGGAACACAACTCGCGCATATATCCAAGCCATGAGAGGAAAGTGCTTGCTCCAGCTGAGTGGTCCCGCTGATCCAACGGGATGTGGTGAGGGATTCTCCTACGTTCGAGTGCCAAACAAGCCTACGGTAACATCAATATATAATCGTAACATGAAATAACATTTTATAAAATCCTTTTTTCTAATTTGGTTCACAGCAAACCAAGGAGGAGCAAGAGTCACAGCCAAAACGGTCGGTCACCGGAACGGATGCAGATCTGCGTCGGTTGCCGCTTCAGCGAGCAAAGGAGCTCCTGCGTCAATTTAAGGTTCCCGAGGAGGAAATTAAAAAGCTATCTCGCTGGGAAGTTATTGACGTAGTGCGCACCTTGTCCACAGAGAAAGCGAAGGCCGGCGAAGAGGGAATGGATAAGTTCTCTCGTGGTAACAGGTTTTCCATTGCTGAGCATCAGGAGCGTTACAAGGAAGAGTGCCAACGCATTTTCGACTTGCAAAACCGAGTACTCGCTAGTTCAGAGGTGCTTTCCACCGACGAGGCCGAGTCCTCAGCCTCCGAGGAATCTGACCTCGAAGAACTTGGCAAAAATCTGGAGAACATGCTGTCAAATAAAAAGACTTCGACACAGCTATCTAGGGAACGTGAAGAACTGGAACGCCAGGAATTGCTCCGTCAGCTGGATGAAGAACACGGGGGTCCAAGTGGCAGTGGAGGCGCTAAAGGAGCCAAAGGCAAGGAGGAGGCCGGTCAGCAGATGCTCGCGACTAGCAATCAGGGCAGAATTCTTCGCATTACGCGCACTTTCAGAGGAAACGATGGAAAGGAATATACCCGCGTGGAAACTGTGCGGCGGCAGCCTGTAATTGATGCCTATATCAAGATCCGCACCACTAAGGATGAGCAATTTATCAAGCAGTTCGCCACGCTAGACGAACAACAGAAAGAGGAGATGAAACGGGAGAAGAGACGCATCCAGGAGCAGTTGCGTCGAATCAAACGCAACCAGGAGCGCGAACGCCTGGCGCAGTTAGCCCAGAACCAGAAGCTACAGCCAGGTGGAATGCCCACATCCTTGGGCGATCCCAAGAGCTCGGGAGGACACTCGCACAAGGAGCGGGATAGTGGCTACAAGGAAGTCAGTCCCTCGCGCAAGAAGTTTAAGTTGAAGCCAGATCTGAAGCTGAAGTGCGGCGCTTGTGGTCAAGTGGGTCACATGAGAACAAACAAGGCATGTCCCCTGTACACAGGTATGCAGAGCAGTCTGTCCCAGTCGAATCCCTCTCTGGCCGATGATATGGACGAGCAGAGTGAAAAAGAGATGAACATGGATGACGACGATCTTGTGAATGTCGATGGCACCAAGGTGACCCTTAGCAGCAAGGTGCTCAAGCGGCATGGTGTTGATGACGGCAAGCGACGCAGTGGCTCTAGCTCGGGTCTCACCTTAAAGGTTCCCCGAGATGGAATGGGCAAGAAGAAGCGCAGAGTAGGTGGTGATCCCCATTGCGACTACCTTCAGCGTCACAACAAAACGGCCAATCGAAGACGTACCGATCCTGTGGTCGTTCTATCCTCCATACTGGAAATCATCCACAACGAGCTGCGTACCATGCCCGATGTATCACCATTCCTCTTCCCGGTGAATGCGAAAAAGGTGCCAGACTACTACCGCGTGGTGACCAAGCCTATGGACCTTCAAACAATGAGGGAGTATATTCGCCAGAGGCGGTACACGAGTCGAGAGATGTTTCTAGAGGATCTCAAGCAGATCGTAGACAATTCGCTCATATACAATGGGCCACAAAGTGCCTATACTGTGGCCGCCCAGCGCATGTTCTCCAGCTGCTTTGAATTGCTCGCTGAGCGTGAAGATAAGCTGATGCGTCTCGAAAAGGCCATTAACCCGCTGTTAGACGACGACGACCAGGTGGCCCTTTCCTTCATCTTTGATAAGCTGCTTACGCAGATCAAACAACTAACCGAGAGCTGGCCTTTCCTCAAGCCGGTCAACAAAAAACAAGTCAAAGACTACTACATAGTCATCAAGAGACCCATGGACCTGGAAACAATTAACAAGAAAATTGAAGGTAAGTTCTTATGGTTATCCGTTATTGGCTTACACATGTTCCTGAAAACCTGTTAAATTATTATAATTAAAGAATAGTTAGAGTATTAATTATTAATCGTACTTTTAACCCAGGTCATCGGTACCACAGTCGCGCAGAGTTCTTAAGTGACATCGAGTTGATTGCCACAAACTGTGAGCAGTATAATGGCAGCGATACGCGCTACACCAAGTTCGCCAAGAAAATACTGGAATACGCACAAACCCAGTTGGAAGGGGTACGTTGCTTTATATATATTAATAATCAAACTACATAAGTTCATCCTATTTATGCTCTTAACTAGTTCGCAGACCACTGCTCCCAGTTAGAGAATAACATAGCAAAGACACAAGAGCGTGCTAGAGAGAATGCACCTGAGCTGGACGAAGCCTGGGGCAATGATGACTACAACTTTGATCGCGGCAGTCGAGCTAGCTCTCCGGGCGACGACTATATTGATGTGGAGGGTCACGCAGGACCATCAGCTAACTCCATTCATCGCAGCATGGGAGCTGAGATGAGTGGTTCTCATACCACTCCGTTGCGCAAGCCTCTGCCTCCAGGACCTAGTGAAGTGAAGCGTGGAAGGGGAAGACCACGCAAGCAGCGCGATCCCGTCGAGGAGGGTAAGTGGTATAGGGTCTCTTTCTTCATACTTACTTTGCCTGATCGGTTAATGATCTGTGGCACTATCTCTACAATCGCATTCACATACATTACTACATTTAATCTTTCTCCTGGAATTCTTAAGTACTATTGGTATTTATCACGCTTCCTCCTACATTTTGAAATTAGTAAACTATAAGTGAACTATACAAAATTTGCATATGGCAAACCCTTTGGTTACGGTTGACATGGATCCGGACGGATCCCTCTGCTTATACTAATCCCAGACTATTATTCCGTCTTAAAAGTAGTATAATTAAACGTATGAATGGATAATGTTTAGATAATCTCCAAATCTTTGCATAGCTATTCACGTAGATATTAAGGAAATGGATATCATCGCTGTGCATGTCTCAGTATATATCTAATAGTATACCCAACCCAAATCGAATATAAATTTTTGGGAATTGAGCCATGTTGCATAATAATAAGTTTTGACAACTAATTAAGTAATTAAAATAGTAAATATTTGTATCTTTTGAAAAACTTAATTGAAGGTTTAAAATGAATATTGATTATTGTAAAGAGAAAACCCAAAAATCAGGCCATAAAATGAATTTAAAGTTTCTTTCTGGCCGATAATGCGTACACCAACGGGATCTGATTTAGGTATAGCCTATATGCCTATAGCCCTACACCCGAACACATAAAAACGATTGAAAATCCTGCTACTGTTGCCATGTACGAACTGCAAAAACTTTTACCTTTTCTAGTCAAATCCCAGAATCCGGTTAAGCGTGGTCGGGGCCGTCCGAGGAAGGACAGCCTTGCCTCAAACATGAGTCAGACGCAAGCTTACTTCCTGGATGAAGGTAAGCCTCTAATCGCCGACTAATCGCAACTAAGCCAGAGGGCCACCACACAAATACTCACTTGCATCAATTTTGTAATATTCATACATGAAACCCAAAATTCTTTTATACGCTCACAGCTTTTTCACATGCACCTCATTTTATGTTTGGACTTACTAACTTTTACGATAATCTTGTGTGCCTAATTTTTGCATGACTTTAGATTTAACTTCGAACTTTTTTTTAAATTTTATAAATAACTTACATTTTGTTTCAGTTCTTGGTAATGCACAAATCGCCCACCTATTTTTGAATCATTTTAAAAGTTATCTTGTTTTCCATTAGACCTGCAATGTTCGACAGATGACGAAGACGATGATGAGGAGGAGGACTTCCAGGAGGTATCCGAAGACGAGAACAATGCGGCCAGCATTTTGGATCAGGGCGAACGTATTCATGCTCCCGCCGAAAGCAGTGATGGTATGTTCGATCCCAAGAACATCAAAACGGAAATCGATATCGATGCCCAGCAGATGGCAGGTGGGTACTTAATTCGGATCTTCCTATGACAGGAACCGTCGTTTAGTCACAAAATTTCTTGTAAAATGTACAAAACGGAAGAGAATCTTATTTATTTAAATATAATACTGTATACTTAAATCCGAAATACAATGATTGGATTGCTAAGATCATATTTGTCCGATCGTTTATAAAGTTATTAGAAGATAAGTAACTCATTGATTTAAAAATGAAATCCTTGGAAGACTGTCTATAATTTACCTAATATAATTGATGTTAAAATCATATTTATTACGGTTCTTGGTCCCTATTTAGAAGCTTAAAACTAATCTTAAAAACCACTTTCAATCGCTGACCTTGTTTGGATTTTATTTCTGTTTCTGATTTTACCCAAATCGCCTGAGCAGAGGAGCCGATCGGTGAGGATGACAGCCAGCAGGTGGCCGAAGCAATGGTGCAGTTGAGTGGCGTGGGCTACTATGCTCAACAGCAGCAAGGTCTCTATTATTCCTACTAAGTGTTTGTGTTGTGCCCTCGATGTCCATGTCCCTACCCCGAAAGTCCTATAAATGATTCGATCTTCATTATACGTTAACAATAATCGATGTTTTCAAAATTTTTCAGATGAGTCCATGGATGTGGACCCCAACTACGATCCCTCCGACTTTCTGGCCATGCACAAGCCGCGGCAGAATCTTGGCGAGCCCAGTGCCTTGCAGGGTGCCTTTACCAATTTCCTATCCCATGTTCAAGATGACAATGGGCCATACAATCCTCCCGAGGCCAGCACAAGTGCCGCTGCCGCTTCAGCCTTGGGTATGAGCCTACCGCCTCAAGAGGATGATTCCATGGCTATGCAAATGCCGTCGGAAATGCCTTCTAATACTTTGAACAATGGAATGGGCATCGATGATGATCTGGACATTTCGGAGAGTGATGAGGAAGACGATGGTTCTCGGGTGCGCATCAAAAAGGAGGTCTTCGACGATGGAGAATACGCCATGCAGCACCACCAGCAATTGGGGCAGCAATCGCAGTCGCAAATCTACCTCGTGGATTCGTCAAACGAGCCCACGAATCTTGACTACCAGCAGGCACCGCAACTGGACTTCCAGCAGGGAATGGAGCAGTTGCAGCACCAAGGCATGCAGCAGCAGGCCATGCCCCCGCTGCAACCAGAGCAAATGCAGCACCAGCAGACACCGCAGGGAGACAATGATTATGCCTGGACTTTTTAGTGATTAAGTATGGATTGTTAGTTGTAAGAAACACAAACAAAATTCACATTTCCTCTTCCGAGAGAACAACTCTGTGAAAATACTACCTTTTTGTACCGCTTGAGCTTTTACCATTTTTATTATAAGCTTGATTTGGAAGTATATTAAAAACAATCATAACTTCCACAAAGAGTATTAATCTGTTCTTGGGATCGTAATAATTCAAATTCCAAGCGCATAAGCTAGGTATTGTGTATTTAAAGAAAAACAGAAAATCTTCGTTTAGGAGCTTTGCAGTTCCACAATGGACTGGTAATCGTTTAATATTTAATAGCTCGGCTCACAGTGAACGTGATAACGTAAATCTTAGCTTAACTTGCATGTCACAGTCGTCGCTCTTCCCGGTGGCATGACGCCATCTCTAGACTCCTCCACCGCTCCACCCACGCGTCCTATTGCTTTGAGAATTGTCGGGTTGCACTCCAGTGAATTAGTGATGCCTTATGGCCTGTGAGAGTTCCCGTAATGCGGATCTTACAGCAGCTTCAGGTGACCGGTGACACGGTCAATGTCTGCGGCAGCCGCTGGACCCACGGCCAGCACTGTCTTGGAGTTCGCCTCGATCTGGGTGCGACCGGCGTCGCGGATGAGGCAGGTGTTCAGCTGCTGGCGCTCTGCGGCCTTCTTGATAGCCATTAGCTCCGCCTCGCTCTCTACGCGTACAGCGATTTTGGCGCAACCACAATTCTCCCACGCTCTCAACAATTTTGGCGTCCTGACCACAGCTCGCTGGTAAGCACCTACCGCTCCATGGCCACACTGGGCGGCAATCTTCCCTTTGCCCATTTTGAGGTCGTTGCGCACCACAAGGACCATCTTGAAGTTATCGTTGAAGCCTCCATAGCCCTGAGGGGTTAGAGAAATGGTAAATCAGTTAATTAGTAAGAAAAAAGTTACGGCAATGGAAAAATGACAGGCTAGAGAGCAGCTTAATCGATCTAGTCTTAATCACTCGCAGAAGCAAATGTACCTCGTAAGCTGTCATTAATACCAATAAAATGCTATTTTAGTACAATTTAACACATTTTCCTATCATTTCCTAAATTTTTTTATTTATTATTTCCTAAATATTTTCTTTTTCTCTAGGATAACTGAAAAAATATCGAAATTTTGATGTGGGTGTCAAATACAGAAACCTAAGTTCCAACATTAAATATGTAACAATATATATACAATATGAATATAGCTTTTCGAATAGAATGTAATTTTTTCAATAGTTTCATTCTACATTTTTTTAATGGAAATAAAATAAATGCAAGAATTAATTAAAATAGGGTGTATATTCAAATTCATTTAGGAGTATAAGATTGATTAAATATATCTTAAAAACCTTTTCAATTATTGAAAATTTATAATGTTGGATTATGCATGTGCAATGTTTTACTTATTTGAAAAATCAAATTGGACGATTTCAAAAAATCAAAATGTATATTTCAAGCGTTTGATAGTAATACAAGTTCTAAAAGCTTAAAATTGCACTGCTATTCTTGTGACTGCCGGTGTAGGTGTGCTATATTGCATTTGCGGTACCTGTGAAAAGTATCAAGTACCGGGTTTGCCAAAGGGTGAGAACTTTGGAATACCTTCCCTAAGACCTTATGATAGGTTTCTGTCTCACCTTATCCAAAACAGGCGCTTCCGAACTGGACACTGAGGATCCCAACGAGGATGTAGCTGCCGCTCCTTCGTCAGATGAATCCTTGGCGTCACCACGTTTCAGGGCGTAACGATATCCCACGAAGAAGGACAGCATCACAGCCAGTCCATTGATGATCTGGGTTGGGTCCAGCAACTTGTCTCCCATGTCGCTCCGTTTATTTCTATTACTTTATTATTTCGCGAAAAAACGCAACCGATGGCGCTCACTTCACGTTTCCGGATGCGGTCACACCAAGTACGGATTTCTCTACGGTCTCACTGATGGAGATGGTAAGACGAAATTATTGGATAGCTTGTCTGGCAACTCTTGAGGCAGAAGTATTCTTAAGAGAAACATTAATTAAAAACTGCTTAGCAAGGGTAGAAGAGCATTCCAAAATTTGAGAAACGGGGTCAAATAATATATATGTACATATAAGCTGGCATAAAAGTCAAACAAAACTAAAAAATATCCGTGTTTGCCGTTGCTTAAAGATCGTATATCGAATGGGGCAAGTAAGATGTTAACTTTAAATTTACTTTAATAATTACGTTTTTAAAATTTTCAAATAGAATACGATAACATTTAAGCTCGTTAATATATACGTCAAAAAAGCCATTTTCTTATTTAGATAGACATTTATTTAAAGCGATTTTTCAATTCAATGATTTTATTTTTTAGTATCTATTTAAATATTAAAAAAAAATGTAAAGGAAACAGATATTTGTTATTATTTCATTCTTTTAAAATTAAATTTTTTTAAGAAACCAAAGACGAGAAGTGTGACCAAATACTAGTTGTACAGCTAGGCATTTCCGCCGCTAATTGCGAAGGTCACACTGCCACATACGTGGTAATTTTCTGTCTTCGTGGGAGTTTTCGAAGAGCTTTGTTAAAGCCCCATTTAATTGCATTTAGCTAGGTTAATATCCACCTTAAGAGCCCAAAACAGACAACCGCAACCATGGGCGTAGCCAGCATGTTGCAGATCGACGAGATGCTGGGCGACTTCAACAGAATGAACAAGCGTCAGGTAAGCGGTGCCGCTTCTCTAAGCATATGTACATATATAGCGTCCTAATCCGTGTGTTTCCCTCTCCTGCAGTCGTTGTACCAGGTGCTAAGCTTTGCTATGATTGTCTCCTCGGCGTTGATGATCTGGAAGGGCCTTATGGTAGTCAGTGGCAGCGAGTCCCCGATCGTGGTGGTGCTCAGTGGAAGTATGGAACCGGCATTTCACCGTGGCGACCTACTCTTCCTCACTAACTACAAGGAGGAGCCGGTGCGCGTAGGCGAGATCGTAGTCTTCAAAGGTGGAAGGCAGAGACATACCCATAGTGCACCGCGTAATTAAGCTGCACGAGAAGTAAGTGCAATTGCATAGAAAAGGGAGCGTGTCCCAGAAGGGGTTTCCATATCGATAATTAAATTAGGGACTAAGACTGCAGTGTAGATGAGAATGATTTTTCGATATCCTTGTTTAGCACTGTACTGAAATGCTTTTTATTTCGGTATAGGTATAAAACAATTCTTAGCTTGTGTTCAGCATCATTGAGTTATCCAGACCACGTCATTGCTTTAAAACTGAATAGCTTAAAAAACTGATTTGCCTTATTTTTCATTTTTATTATTATAGAACAGGATTCCGTTGTATAAACTATTTTAAGAATCTTTTGGTATGGATCTCAACTTAGCTTATAGCTTGTCACCACTGGGGAAAATGAAATTTTTAAAAAGAATTGTTTACTAATTCTCCTTTCATTCGATAGGGAGGATGGATCCGTCAAATTCCTGACCAAAGGCGACAACAACAACGTGGATGATCGGGGTCTGTATGCGCCAAACCAGCTGTGGCTGACTAAAAAGGATATTGTGGGACGGGCCAGGGGCTTCCTGCCCTATGTGGGCATCATCACGATCTTTATGAACGAGTATCCAAAGGTTAAGGTAAGTCTTGCGCCAATTTCAGCGTTATTCCCATACTAATTTCTGGATTTCTTCTCTATCCAGTGGGCCATCCTCTCCATTCTGGCCATTTTCGTGCTGCTGCATCGGGAATAGACGGTTTGCTCTTATTTTGTAGGTACAATTTATAAGTAGGAAGTGCACAATCTCGAGCCTGTCTGCATTTTCGTTTCCCTTACCACCCCCAACAGAAAGACCTTTGTGCGGAGCTGATTTTCAATAAAGATACATGTAACAATTTTTAATAGTTCGGGAAGGTATGAATGGTTTCTGAGGCAAGGAGTTGCTGCTTGAGGGCGGCACTAGAGGTGGAGAAACATCGATGTTCACGGACATCGATGTTTTCGATGTTTTTGGCGAAAACATCGATGAAACATCGATGTTTTAAATAAAAAAAGTGTGCAGTTATTTTAATGTATTTGAACTTTATTTTAATTTGTAATGTTTAAAAATTAAAAGTCAAATTTTCAACAAAAAATATCCAATTTATTAATCACTTATTAAATAAAAACGAAAAGAAATTCAAATTAAAATAAAACTGTTCATGATATTCATGTTATACTTCTTTGGTATACATTCTTAGTTTGTAAATAATAACAAAAATAAATAAATTTTATATCAATGTATCAATATATACATGGTCCAAACAAAATAATAGTTCTTTTGGATATTGTGATATTCCTACTATACTTACTATTCCGAACTCTTTTATATATGTATATTTGCATATTATTTACATCTTTGTTTTTGTTTAAAAAGAGAAGCTTATCGACAGCGGTCGATAATAGCCGCGTGCGACGTTCACTTATAAGTTGTCCAGCTTTACTGAAAACTCTTTCAGATTCGCACGAAGATGCCGGATCGCAGAAGTATTATTAAGCTAACGTTTTAAAAGCGTCGCCATTAAATTAAGTACATGTATAAATTAAGTATATGTACTTACAATTCGTCAATCAATCAATGTGCCTTAAAAAAAGAAAAACATCGATGTTCCTCCGGTAAACATCGATGTTTCCGATGTTTCGAAAACATCGATGTCATCGATGTTCGTATCGATGTTTCTCCACCTCTAGGCGGCACCCCAATGGTACTTTGTTGCTCCATTCTGGGACACAATCCGATGACATGGGATGAGGACGGCCACTTCGTTTTTGGCCACTGCACTGGCCACAGCTCTGACTGCTTTCGGACGACCCATGCGTTCGGCCAGTTGGGAATACGTGCAAGTTTCCCCTCTTTTCAGGTCCGCAAGAGCTTTCCACACAGACAACTGAAATTCAGTGCCCAGGATGGCAATCGGAACCACCTCAGAGTTTTCCTTATTGCCACCGAAGAGTTTATCTGCCAACAACTGAATCTTAGCTTTATCCTTGATGAGAACCGACTTTGGCCATCGCTTGATCACTTCGTTATAAGTTATTTCCTCGTTCTTATCCACAAAGTAAAGTACGCAAATTGCTTCTTGATCTCTCGGATCCACGGTGAGAGGATTAATGGCGCCTATGATCATCTTGCCGAACTTTGTATTCACAAAGTCAAATAAAATGATTTCCGGCGGTTTCTCCAGTAAAATCAATCGGATCTGTGTGCTCGGTGCAAACCACATCTTTATTTTGCGCCTAATCTAAAGTCAAGTTTTTTAGGATTTCGCAAATACAAATATACAATGTGACCACAGCTAGAGCGCGAGAAAATGTCTCTAGAGCTGAAAACTAAGGTTGCCAGATCATCTGGTAACCGGTTTAGCCCAATTTGGCGGCCTATAAAAAAGCATTCAAAAGTGAAGATTTCTTTTTCTATCCTATTCTATGATTGTTCTATATTTATACCCTTTACTCGTAGAGTAAAAGGGGTATATTAAATTAGTTGAAAAGTATGTAACAGGTAGAACGTGGAATTTTACATAAGTAAGTGGGCAATAGAAATTTTCATTTTACTAATTTCATATAAATGACTGCAAGGTCTAAGGTCATTAAATTATTTCATATATTCCATTTTAAAACTTAATCATCATTCACCCATTGATTGAGAATTTTTTTTTATTTTATTTTATTTTTCTGCAATTTATAATGGGGTCTTAAAAACCTATCTATCACCCATATGCAAAACTGCTTTGGTCAAAGGCATTTGATGAATTTCCTGGTTAATTTTCAAGAAAGATAAAATTACTCATGTTATCAAACACGAAAATATGAAAATTAATAAATAAATCCCTAAAAAATTCAAATTTTCACAAATGTGTGATAAACATATAATCCCCAACTCAAGTCTGTCAGAACCAAGATAGATTTGCATATGATAACTGGGGTTTGTTTTCCAATTAATCAAGATATCCTAGGAATTTTATGGCTTGAAGGCTGTTTTGGCGTATGCCATTTTCCACCACGATTTCCCAGTCGAATGTTAGTTTACTTGGAAATAGTTTTTGACCTATTCGTCTGAGATTTAGCTTTGAAGTTCCCACGTTCGGAATAAGTTGACCACATTGTTTATTAACAATTTGCAATCGGGGTTCGTTTATTGTTTATTCATAAATGTGTTGTACAGTTATAATTATATTACAATTAGGACTAGATTAAATATACAGACGTACATACATCAAGATTGTTTTACTGATTACTTTCTAGCACAAAACGAATAACTCGGCATCCTAAAACTTAGCTAATAATACTACAGACGAGTGGTGATGGGTGTACTCTAGGGGTTCTACTTGGTATCGTTCTTGTAAAGTTTTAAGTATTTTAGTTTTGGATTTTCGTTTTGATTCCGTTTGTATTCGTATTTTGTCAATTGCTCTGCGTGCCTTTAAGTAAGTTTAAGTAAATATTTTTTTTAAATAACCCTGAGTTTAGTTAATGCTAGTTTATGCTAACCAACTTCAGCTGCGGCAATGCGAAATGTTAGTTTAAATATTTACAGCCCCTAGATGAATATGGCACCTCGATTCCACAAGTTCCTAGCGTTTGATTACAGATTTTGCTTGCATGGTTTTACATTCTCAATTTGCTACGTGTATGGCATAATGATTATTTAATTATTGTATTTTTCTTATAGTTTAGTTCTGATCTTTTGTGCATTCTCTATTAATTTATCACAACGAAATGCGTCAATATTTTGGCGGCAACAACAACAATGGTATAACAATGGCAACTAACAACGCAGAAAGCCGTTCAACTTTGTTTGGTTGTCGGTGCCGTTAGTGTTAAGGTTGTCGAAGGTGACGAAGATCCTCTTGTGGCCATTTCATTCCCGCCCAGATCGCTGCCCTGCGGCTTCATCTGCAACTCCGACGGTTGTTGTTGCTGCTGCTGTGGTGGTTTCTCGCTGATCACGGGCGTCGAGTGCTGCTGCGTTAGGATGTCCGCTGGAATGAGTCCTTCCTTCACCCTCTTCTTCTGCTTCATCCGGCGGTTCTGGAACCAAATCTTGACCTGCAATAAACGAGGGTAAAACTTATAAGTCAAGTTTATAAATTATAATCTGTAAGTTAAAGGTTTAATAACATAATAAATTAGCTCAAAAACTATTAATATTAAAAACGAATATTTATTTTTATTGGTAGGAACGTTGAATGATATTAAACTTTCTGTTTTGTTTAAGATTGTTTTTGAGTATGAAATGTAACATTGGATGATCCTTTAACAAAATCATTTTTAATCATTATGATTGAATTTAGATAACATAAGTTAATTCATTACATATATTTCTCACTTTTTCTATTTCTTTATAAGCATTCTCTGGAAAAGTAATTATTATTCTCTTATTAAACATTTAAATTAAATTCGTATGAATCTCTTCCAATTTTCTGGCTTCTTTATAATATAAATTTATTGAAATCGAAAGTAATTTTTTTTATTTTCCTATCACCTAGTTTTAATTTAAAAGAAAAGCTAAATTCCTCACCTGAGTTTCGTTTAGCTGCAGCGTATTCGCGATTTCGATGCGTCGTGCCCGCGTCAAGTAGCGATTGAAGTGGAACTCCTTCTCCAGTTCGGTTAGCTGCTTGTTTGTGAAGTTTGTCCGGCCGGAGTTGTTGGTGTTGCTGGAGAGGCTGCAGCTGCTCAGTACAGTTCCGGATCCGTTGCCCAGGCCCACACCTACACCCATGCCATTGGGATGGGCACCGCCTGCCGCCGCATTGTTGGCCATCATCAGGGAGTTCTGCACGGCCAAGACGCCTCCGATCCCCGAGGATCCGTTGCCCCCAACGCCCAAAGGACCGCTCACGACGCCGCTGCCTCCGCCTCCTCCGCCACGGCACATGTCCAGCTGTCCATTCATCTGGTAGTCGTGTATGCTGGCAGTCCCGCTGGCAGGTAGTTTCGGAGCTGCAAGGAAGAAAGGGAAGAGAGTAGTGAGATACACTGGACAAAATTGGAAAACATTTTTGATAAATGTTCAGATAAGAAGTTTATATAAAGTATTTTTATCGTCAATATGGGGCTTTTTAGAGTCCAGCCCTAAAGATATTACTTGAGTAAAGAGGGACTCTAACTATAAACTGACTAATATAAAGTTCTAAATAAATATAGTATTAGTATTATAATTGCCATGAATACAACAAAGCATTTTCTTCAGTGTAGTATTGGTTTATATGCCAGTCTTTGTTTTGGTTGTGGCTAAGGGAGTGAGGTTTGGGCAGGGATCGTCCGATCCCTTAACGCTGATCTTTAGCTGTCGCAGCTAATCATTGTGAGACTTTCGACCCTCGCCTGCTCATCCATCCCCTACCCCAAACTCTCTCCTTTCCATTTGACTTTTGGCTCGTTTGCGTGATTTTGCATTTTATTCATAATTTGACATGCGCCCCGTGGCTAAAGCCGACGATGATGAAAATAATTCCTTTTGGCCAAATACCTTTCCATAGAAGGATTTAATGGGCTCAATAGGTTTGTTTGAAAATATTGGGATTATCCTGACAGCGGGCATTCTAACTCCGAGTTTGATCTTAACTCTCACTTTAATTTGTGGGAGGTTCAGGAATTATTAGATTTGTGGGTTTGCCTGGGATTTGGGATTTGGGATTCCTTGTTAGTCCGGAAATGTCTTCAAGATTGGTTGGAAAGGGGATGAATGTTCTTATGTGGCTTCTATGGTTGACCAATTTACAGGTGTTACATTGGGTATGTTATAAGAAATGGAAATTTAAGCTGATATCAAATTTATGGAGCCACCAGTAGCAGGGTGTATAAATAGCTGTGGAAAACCATAAAAAACCTTTTAACACAATCATAAATCTTAAAGAACATTCCAAGAGCACAAATCAATTAATAAGCATTATGCGACCATCAAGAGGCTCCTTAGGGCGATCGAGTTGAAAGGTGCCGATCGGTGGCCATATTAATATTAAATGCCGGATCCCGTTTAGTTATCGAGTTGGTTTAACAGTTTTTTAGGCAATTGGCAGGCCACTTTGAGTGCAATAAATCATGGCCCAGAAGCCATGGGCAATAAATAAGTTTTACAGAGCCGAATGAGTGATGAATTTATGACTGCTCCTCTAAGTGCCACCGATACCCAAATACCCAAATTGGCATCCAATCGAAATATCCGCACAGTAGCTGGCTTGCACCTTTCGGGGATTTGGGAACTGTTTGCTCGGATCCATCGATAAGTGCCAAGTCGGACTGGACTGGAAACCCTCCTATCGTAATGCACACAGGAATGTCTAAGAAAACAAGCCCCAGGATTACCGCGCCGAGTGGCCTGGGCTGCATTTGAATTTTCCCGCAAACAGGCAAACAAAACTAAGCAAACGCTGCCGCGGCAGTTGCAGTTGCACCGCCACTACCACTGCCACAGTCGCAGTCACAATCGTAATCACCTTCACATTCCCATTCACGGTAGCAGTAACAGCAGCAAAGACAGTGACAGCCGAGAGTTACTGCATTCCGGTTAGGTTATCAATATGCTGCTGCCAATCGTCGAACAGTGCTGTGGGCATTGTTAATAACTCAGTTTCATAAATCATATACGTATACATAACAATGATAATATTATGTCTAGCTTTGAAGGTACATCATCATAAGATCATATATTTTAGACAATTTTTAATTAAAGATATCTTCTAAAAATCTTGTTAAACATTAAGCTAGAGAGCTACGTCCTGATTTTGTATCAAGGATATTCCAAAAATACCAAAGTCCCATTTGTCTTGCTCCTATCTCTGGCTTCACTGTGGCACGGGGCGGCCTCTGTTAGTGGCACGGCTGGCGCTGCTCAGCCGCTGCTGGTGTCGCTCGGGTTGTCAAACATGTCGCGGCCAGTTGGCGGCACTGTCGCTTTTGTCCGGCGCCAAACGATATCTACTTTGTAATATTAGTTTTAGAGAGCATTATCGGGGGATCGCTTCCACTTCACTACTCCGAATGGTTGCGTCGGGAGATGAGGAGAGCGGTGGCTGGTGGTGCAGTGGAGAGTAGGGAAACTCCGTAACTAACAGGGCCACCACCACCCCTCCCTGGTGAAGGCCATTCCAAGGGGGTGGGTGGGACAGTGGGCTGGCACCATGGCGCTTAAGTGACACTGTTGACAATCAATGTAAACAGCCAGAGTCGCTGCTGCAGAATTTTACGAAGGGTGCGGATGAGCCGGGCAGGGCAAGAAGCGGAGGTAAGTGCAACAGTTAGGGGCGCCACACAGAGTCGATGAAATTTGATAACATCTCAACTAGCGGTAATTATAGTTGCAGGTTTAACCCAGTCACACGTTTGTTGACTTTTGCATATCTTCTATCGTTCATCGCAGAGTTCTCATGTGAAAAACTGGCTGGGGGAAATCTTGGAAAGATTCACAGTAAACTGTGATTGTGAAAGCCAAATCAAAGGAGGCCTTTATTGTGGAAACTCCTAAAAGGAATTGTCAGATTATATACAATATTGAAAGAGGTTAATCTAGGGAGTAAAAAGCTTCGAATTTATTAATGCTGATTTATAAAGTAGGATTCTTGGATGTTAACTGTACGATGGAAGTTCTCCATGAAAATATAAGATTTGGGAAATCTAAATATGTTTTCAACATTAACTATTTAGTTGGTGTAATTATACCATTACTTTAAGAAAACCCTTTTTTTTGAATATATTTCGATTAATATTTTGCTTAACTCTTCGGATTAACTTGTATAATTTTTATTAACCTTTACCTATTTCCCCATTACTAGCAATAGGACTACTCTCTGCCCTTGAATTCCACGCTTCAAGTACAGTTCGCTGGGGCAGTGAATCATCCACTGGAGGACGGCCATTTTGATATGATATAATGATATTATCATTTCTATTATGCAGGCGCCACTGCCACTTTACGGAGATCCCCCACTCGCCCACATTCACACACTCGCTGGCAATCTGTGATCCCGGGTGGCATTACATGGGGTCCGTTTCGGGGAGATTAAGTGGGCCTGTGGCCGTAGACCGGAGACCGGAGACCGGAGAACTAAACTGACGGAGTGCGTGGAACGCCGTCTGGCCGGCGGCTCAATTGATAATAATATTTAATTCGAGTGCAAATAGAAAATTATATTTCAATTAAAAGTAAATTGTTTTAATTGTTGATTAAACACAACTTCAACATCAACGTCACATGTGGCGAAACTTTCGAGAACCGATTCTGTTGCCCTAATCTAGGGGCCATAAAACTGCACGAAAAGTTGACCAAAAATATGCTGACGATCGGTGGCTTTGGTGACGATGTGATTGATCACCTGCGGGTAATTTATGGCCCCCGCAATCGCATGGAACCAGAAATCTAATATAGAACATAATATTTTGCAATCAACAGAGGCTGTATTATGTGCCCTTTGACGGCGGGACAGATGTTCAAACTTCACTGGCCAGAGGTCAGTCGGCACTAATTAAGTTGGCAATCTCTGTGGAAAACCCTTTTCGGGGGAGGGTGAGGGTTGACCCAGCTAATTAGGCACAGTCAACACTCTTTGGCATTTCAGAGTCCCGGAGTTGGGACCCTCGGACTCGGACTCTGACTTGACTAAACTGCCTTAATCCCGTCCGAAATCCACGAGCCATGTCCATTCATTCTGTCAGTTTTATTGGCCGCCTGTCAACCCGTGACTTTTTCCACATGTCATGCGATGATGCAGTCGTATCTGGGTATCTGGTATCTTGCTTTCTTGCTAAACATTTCAAACACGAATCGTGAAATGCACAAAAACCGAATTCCCATAATTGTATCTACAGATCATCGTTCCCCAAAAGATCCCCAAGTATCGCCCCGACTCGCTGCCAAGGTGAGGTAAAGTTTTCCAGTTTAATTGAAAGTTTTGTATGGGCATAGCTGACGTCCCGCTGCTTATTAGTCACGATGTCTAACACACATGGAAATTGTTCGACACAAAGGGTTCGAGGTTTTTGAAAGAAATCCCAAATAATAGCTGGAAAGAAAGCAATATCTGGCTGCTTGTCTGAGTCAGATATTAACCAATACCTCGGGGTATTGGAAAATGTCTCAGCTGGCGCCCGAGCAACATTTTCCTAATCTTGTTAACTGTCTCTTCTGTCGCCCCGGAAGAAGTTTTCAATTCGTTATCAAACATCTCAATCGGCTGTGTTTACCTTTCGGAAAATTATGTCGCCGTCACACACAACAGCAACAGCAACAACAACAACTCTAAACTCGATTTAAATATTTACACAGATACTCGAATGCACATATTTGTGTTATCTTAATAGCAGCGTTTTGGCTACTGTTTTCTGTTTATTTTACTTTTATTTTCTGTTCTTTAGATTACGCTGAATTCCGGTAGCCATCTGATAGTCCCGAAAATCAAAATTCTAGACATTATTTGTACATATTTTGTTTTTGGTTTTTCGCGATAAGAAATTTCTGTTTGGGGGAGAAAATTAAATTAGGCATGTTGCAGAGAGGTGATCGCGGTACGGCCAGGTCTTTGGATTAAAAGGGGGCTTAAAGGGTATAGCTATGATATATTGGAAAGGATTTGGCGATCAGTTTAAAGCAGAAGTAGTAAAAGATGCCAATAAGATAGGAGTTTGTTTAATAAAGTTCATTCATTTCTATTATTCAAGGTGTTAGGCTTATGTATGATTTTATTCTTTTCAATTGCAAAATTACTGATTACTGCTATTACTGCTATTAGTGCTGAAGTGGGTAGGTATGCCGATGCAACGGCATTGCCAACAAGATAGAAAACTTGGGCGAATTAGAGATGCGCTTTTGCGCTTAGAGATTCAAAGTTGGGAAACCCTTCAGGAAAAGCATTCATCGATAGTTCTTTAAGGTTAGTGAGTGGGATACGGCTATGATTTTGATCCAGAAGTGTCAAGAGTTTGCTTCAATATCAGACGATATTTTA